AAAAAAAAAAAAAAAATTACTGAGTGTAGTGGTGGACACTTGTAGCCTCAGCTTCTTGGAGACTAAAGTGGGAGGATCCAGCCTGGGCAACACAGCCAGACTCTGTCTCAAAAATAAATAAGTGGCTGGCACGGTGGCTCATGCCTGTAATCCCAGCACTTTGGGAGGCCGAGGCGGATGGATCACTTGAGGTCAGAGGTTCGACACCAGCCTGGCAAACATGGTGGAACCTCCTCTCCACTAAAAATACAAAAATTAGCCGGGTGTGGTGGTGTGGGCCTGTAATCCCAGCCACTCAGGAGGCTGAGGCAGGAGAATCACTTGAACCTGGGAGGTGGAGGTTGCAGTGAGCTGAGATCATACCACGAGAATCACTTGAACCTGGGAGGCGGAGGTTGCAGTGAGCTGAGATCATACCACTGCACTCCAGCCTGGACCACAGTGAGACTCCGTCTCAAAACTAATAATAATAATAAATAAATATCAATAAATAAATAAAGTAAAACAGGGGTGGTAAACTAGGGCTCGCCAAACCCTGCCCTTGGCTGTTTTTGTAAGGCCTGGGAGCTATGAATGGATTTCACATTTTTAAATTGGGGTGGGTGAAAAAACGTATCTGACACCTGAAAGAGGTATGAAATTCAGATTTCAGTGTTGATAAGTAAAGGTTTACGGCACACAGCCAAATGATTCACATATGGTTAGTCGCTGCTTTCACACCAGAAGGGCAGAGTTGAGTAGTGGGAGCAGAGACTCTAGCTTTTGGCAGGAAAGCTCGTCCACTCCTGATTTACGAGGTGGAAGCTAGTCAGAGACCAAGGGGTTTGGCAGTGCAGTTGGGCGAATTTTGTGTTCTCTCGATGAGGCTCATTCATTCATTCAACAAGTCTTTTCTTGGGCACTTCCTTTGTGCCGACCTCTGGGCTCAGAGCACTGTTAATGCACAAGTGAACAAAAGAAACAAGAATGCCCGCCCCAGGCTGTTCTAGACGGGCGGGCGTAGAGGGGTGGTGCCGGCACTGACGTTAAATGAAAATGAATCAGCCAGGTTCGGTGGCTCACACCTGTAATCCCAGCACTTTGAGTGGATCTGTAATCCCAGCACTTTGGGTGGCTGAGGTGGGTGGATCATTTGAGGTCAGGAGTTCAAGGCCAACATGGTGAAACCCCATCTCTACTAAAAATACAAAAAAATTAGCCAGGCGTGGTAGCGCATGCCTGTAATCCCTGCTACTCGGGAGGCTGAGGCAGGAGAATTCGCTTGAACCCGGGAGGCGGAGGTTGCAGTGAGCTGAGATTGTGCCGCTGTACTCCAGCCTGGACGGCAGAGCAAGACTCAGTCTCAAAAAAAAAGAAAAGAAAATGAGTCATGTGGAATGACAGAAACTGAATTTTTATGGGAACATTTAAAAAAAGTAATATTAGAAAATTCTGGGGCCAGGTGCAGTGGCACATGCCTGTAATCCCAGCACTTTGGGAGGCTGAGGCAAGAGGATGACTTGAGGCCAGGAGTTCAAGACCAGCCTGGACAACATAGTGAAACCCATCTCTACCAAAAATACACAAATTAACTGGGTGTGGTGGCGTGCACCTGTGGTCTTAGCTACTCAGGAGGCTGAGGCAGGAGGATTGCTTCTGCCCAGGAGTTGGAGGCTCCAGCCTGAGTGACAGCGAGACCCTGTCTCTGAAAAAGAAAAAAGCAAAGAAAAATTGAGTGGCTTTTTCCATTTAGGCATATTTTAAGTGCCCAGGAGCCTCTCATGGCTGGTGGCTGGTGTGGACCAGCATCGGTGGAAGGTGTGCGCATCATCTGGAAGGTTCTGTTGGCCGGTACCGGTCAAGGTGCCTGAGTTGTGTTTATTCCCAGCATGCAGTTGCGTCATCTGAGGGTGCTGGGGCTATGGTTTCAGCATCATGGGCTCAGGTCCATGGCCGTTGAGTGTGGGGAAACTGAGGCACGCTGTGCCAGGGGCGGGGGGCTCATAGAAGGTAGAGGGGCCTCCTGTGCTGGCCTGCCTTCATCCAGGCACTGCCCGGCCTTTCCCACCCTGTTGCTAAAGCAGGAGGTGACCGGTGATTTGATCAGCCCAGGCTTGTGTGGCACATGCAGCCTTCGTCATTGCGAGACCACACTGCCGAGGGGCAGGCCAGAGCCGAGGAGACCCTGACGCTTCTCTGAGTGACCTTGAAGTCTGTGCTGCACTGGGCTTGCATACTTTGGGGGCCAGGGAGCCTTACATGGTTTCCGCCATATGCGAGAGTCACCAGGACGTGAGTGCCCACCTCTCACCCTTGCCGCCCCGCCTCACTAAGTGTGGGCTCCATGAGGTTGCACGGCCCCTGGAGAGGTCTTCGGTGGCGGGTTGTTGCGTCTCTGGCTTCCAGTGAGAGCAGGAATGAGAGCCAGGCCGGCTCAGTGGAGCCCATCTGGGGGGGTGCCACAGCTGTTGCAGGAATGGAAGCCCCAACCCCAGGAGGGCCACTGCTGGCCAGGCTCAGCTCTTTCTCTGACCCCATCCCTCTGGTCACACGCTTTGCTAAGGTGGGTAGCCTAGAGCTGGAAGCCCTTCTTGCCACCCAGCCACTGTGCCTCTCCCAGCTGATGGGCCAGGAAGCCTCCATTATTTGATATTTATTTATTTAATGAGACAGGATCTAATGAGACCCTGTCACCCAGGCTGGAGTGCCATGGCGCGATCATAGCTTACTGTGTCCGCGGCCTCCCAGGTTCAAGCAATCCTCCCACCTCTGCCTCCGGAGAAGTAGGGACCATAGGTGCATGCTACCATGCCCAGCTAATTTTTGTATTTTTTGGGAGAGATGGGGGTCTCACTGTGTTGTCCAGGCTGGTCTCTAACTCCTGGGCTCAAGTGTTCCTCCCGCCTCAGCCTCCCAAAGTGCTGGGATTACAGGCTTGAGCCACCACACCTGGCCGCTTTCGTCATCTTAAAAAGACCCCGACCGGCAGCTCGCACCGGGACTGCAGGGAACCCTGCCCTTTGGGGGCGGTGGTGAGGTGTGCCCAGGAGGAT